AAACACACACACACACCACACACACACACACAACACACACACACACCACACACACAACACACACACACACCACTACTACATACACACATACACACAACACACACTAACACAAACACACACTACATCACCACACACACCCACACACACACACACACACACACACTCACACCACACACACCAACAGGTGACTTTACCGTATTCTCTACTACGAGGAAAGGCCCCGACATGACAGTGACTTTCTTTGTAATCTTAACAAATCAAAAAAAATCTGTGTATGGACTCCATTTTTCACGGTGGGAATAAAGTGAGTTCGATATTTACTTAATATGTAAGATACAAGGAAGGTCGCTGGGCAACAGGTGAGACGTAACAAGGTTGTGTTGGTAAGGGCCGCGGAGTAACCCTGTTCTCGAAAGTGGAGAGACTGACGTGATACCGTGAGAGGTACTTATCAACTGTTTCACCCGCCTTACTCCGCTATAAAGGTCTCCCCTATCCTAATAATTATAATCATAACCATAATTTTTAAAAATGTGGACTGATAAGCCAGCAGAGGACAGAAGGGCCTCGTTGAGATGTCATCTGACTTTAGACTTGCGTCAGCGAAACTATTGGTCTGTTTCCTGACAAACCTTTGCCTAACCTAACCTGAGTTTATGCGGACTTCCCTATTATTCTGTGTCATATTTCTGTTGGTAATTCCTTGTATGTGATGCTGTGTTTCGTGTGCCCTGAATATCAGTGGAATCAACCAGGCCTCAGGACCGAAACGCCCTGTCAAATGTTATTTTTCCCCAGTGCTGTAAGATATTAATGCGCGGTGACTTGTGACTTCGACTATGAAATGTGACGTCCCGGGAGACGGTGATACTGTTATAAAAACAAAAACCCAGGAGGGTTGCTTTGGGAGGGCTCAAACAAGTGTGACTGAGCAACATGTAAGATTAAGGAATTTGTGCTGTTGTGCAGTCTTATAGACCGAGTATATACTGTGCAGTTTTACGTAGTGAAAGTATGTAGTGTGCAGTTGAGTAAATTGTGAGGTGTACGCAATCAATGCTGTGCTGCAAGTGAAAATATTAATCGTCTTAATTATATTAATTTCTTAACTGCCTTGATTAGTTCTCTAAATCCGTCCATAGAGTAAGTGCAGTATTTTACATGTACAAGGAACACTGGTTTCTCCGAAATTGTCCCCTTTTACAAAGGTTCTATATTTTTTTTTTTTTTACTTTTAAAGGGTGCTATGTATACATAATGCTTGGAAAACAAATTTTTGAAGCCCCACCTCTTCTTTAACCAGACCATACTCTGGGTCATAGCTCTTGAAGTGGAAGCGGAAGAGGCCAGGTCTGTCAAACATGTTCTTGAAGTCTCTCAAGCGTATCTCACCCAGTTCTTGTTGATAAATAGACATGAAGGGTGTCACTGTTCGTTCAGTGAAGTAGATCACCTTGGTACATGGCTCGCCCACTCCTGCGGGCACACAAACACTGTATTGGCACTAGAAATAGTGTAAAAAAACATACATACTCGTATATAAATAGAACCAAAGTACAGTTCATTGAAATCAGTTTCTGAATGTAGATAAAAATGCGTGTATTTTATAACTAGGTTATGTAGTAGTTCCTAATATGCGAGTAAATGCCCCAGTATCTGTAAATACTTGATTCATAACCAAGCCACAGATTACAAGCTTCAAATGACTTGTTGTTCTAAGTCGCGTGTCGATGTTTGATATAGGACGAATTGAAAACGTAAATTTTCCTGTTTAAACTGTAGGTTAGTTGTGGATTGTTGTCGCCACGGTACTGTAGGTTAGTTGTCAATTGTTGCAGCCACGGCACTGTAGGTTAGTTGTCAATTGTTGCAGCCACGGTACTGTAGGTTAGTTGTGGACTGTTGCAGCTACGGTATTGTCATGTGTTCATTAAATGCCCAATGTGTGTGTGTGTGTGTGTGTGTGTGTGTGTGTGTGTGTGTGTGTGTGTGTGTGTGTGTGTGTAAATACCTAGTCATGAGTAGGAGAGGTCTTGCCAGGGAAGGGAAGTAACAAAACATTTTACAGCAGTTTTCACTGGGATAAAGATTCATACTTCGTAGAGCTTTTACCGGTGACGATACAACTACACAGAACGAAGCGTTGTCTCACTAAGAGCAACTGCTGAAACGTCTATTGCTGTTCTGCCGCTGAGTTAGCATTATCCTGGAAGCGTTCGGGAAAAGTATTCAAATTCACTCATAAAAGGTTATAGTCTGCGCTGTGTTACGTAGTTTTTGGTGTCTTTGGAGGTACTGGCGGCTTTGGAGGTGTTGGCGAATTTGTCCAAGTAATTCCTGGTCTCCCATATTCATTATTTGATATTTGTTACCAGACTGCGACCCGAAGCAGTTTATTTGCACCCAGGTTACCTACTTACTGCAGGTGTAGACACATGGGCCAGCACTTAAACTCGTCCCAGGTTCGAATCCCGTTCTTTTGAGAGCCAGTATACGTGGGTGTGTTGTCCCAAATACCACTACACCCGTGTGTGTTTTTCTACTCAGCTGGGTTTAGCGCTTCCTTGTAACAATAATATAAATAAATATACATCTTAAAGTATGCTCAGTAATAGCCCACATGGAAATAGAAACACAGGAAGCTGATTTGTACATTTCGATCGCTTCTGGGATCCTCTCCTGAAGAGGATCCCAGAAAGGGGATTGAAATATACAGACGAGTCAACCTTCTGTGTTTGTATTTCCATGTGGGTTATGGAGGACTGAGCGTTCATTACATTCATTACACAGTATATAGAATTATAATGTAAGTGGTTGTATGAACATACCATTAACAGAAGGCCGCTTGTCTCCCGGGCGTGAGGCTTTGTCACTACTACCACCACTGCCACCATTACCACCATTACTCCACGTTCTATGAGGTAGCGATGGCTTGTTCAAGTGTGTCCAGTGTGTGCTGGTTGGGATCTGTCTCTCTGGAAAGGTACAAACATCCAATATTCCCAGTCTTGGCTGAATTGAGAGACAGACATGGAATATCATGCAGTACATGAAGCAATAAATGTGGGTAGAATATTAGAAGGAATATCTTGGTAATACGAGAGTATTTAATTATAGTCATTATTTCCTAAATAATTTGTTGTATTTGTGATGCACGGCAGCAGCACTTGCTGTGCACGGCCGAGTTGCAGCAGCCACTGGCTGTGCTGTGCACGGCAGCAGCACTGGCTGTGCACGGCACACGCTAGCAGCGCTGGCTTGCCGTGATGCGCGGGGGTAAAAAGTCTTACAACAGCAACGAAGATTTACGTCAAATGACTCACGAAATCGTAATGACACGATTGCAAACAAACCATACCACGGCCGGGAATTGAACCCGCGGTCATAGTCTCAAAACTCCAGCCCGTGGCTAACGCGACGGGCTGGAGTTTTGAGACTCTGATGACCGCGGGTTCAATCCCGGACCGGGGTATGGTTTGTTTACGTCAAATACTTTTCACAGGGACATTTCGCTCTATAAGAGCTCTTCACAGAGCGAAAAGTTGGTAAAGTGGAAGCTTATTGTCAGTCTTGAAGGGGTCAAGTATACCGGTGATAAATTATCAGCAGTTCCCATAGTTTGAAAATAGGAAAATTTTTGAATTCACAAGTGCAACCTTGGGGAAATCTCTGCCCACAAGGGGACACCCCAGTGTTGCACGTCTTTTTTCATCAGTTTTAGTAACGTGAAAGTGAGAAATCACGTGATCATAAAATTGAAACACAGGCGCCAACTAGAATCCTTAAGGAGAATCGTTATCTAGAATCATTGACTAGAACCAGTCATTATCTAAAAATCATTACAGAATAGCATAGGGTACCAACAAGACAGTCAGGAATTACACATGAGCAACACCTTCGGATCTTTACCTACAGATGTTGTTCTTCACTACGAGGATATACGCAGCTAGTACATAAAGTAATCCGGCCGTTAGCCTTGCTGACGCTGACTGGCTGATACACGTGTTACACACGTGTTCCTCTTAACTAGACCTGTTTATTGTGGTCTCGGTTACTGACCTCTGTTGAAGCGAAGTATGATTGTGTGGGGTGAAGGTGAGTGATTTTGGATGATTGTGTGAGGTAAAGGTGGGTGATGGATGATTGTGTGAGGTATAGGTGGGTGGTGTTGGATGATTGTGAGAGGTGAAGGTGGGGTGGGTGTGCGAGGTTAAGGTAGGTGGGTGTTGGAGGTGGGCGGGTGGGTGTAGGACGAGGTGGACTCACCTGAAGTTACTTCTGAGAGAGACGATAGCGTCCCTCACCAGCTGGAGTTCTTCCTTAGTGGCTGAGGACACCGCTGAGCGTCCACCAGCAGGACACTCTCCTCCCACCACCCGCTTACCGTTCTGTGGACGCAAGAAGCTCGTCAGTGTGGCGGGACGCAACGAGGGGGGTCAGTGTGACGGGACGCAACACCACTACTGACCTACGTCCTTCAAAGACCTCATGTTGGTGACTGGTTCTTGATCCAAAGAATTGGAGTCACTATGCTCTGGAATCAATTCTGATAACCCTTCTCAATTTTCCCTTGGTTTATTTAGGGCCCTTTGGGGTTTTGGGTTTTTACTAGTGTTGCCCCCCTGGGGTCGCCAGGTTGCCCCCCTCGGTCAATTTAGAAATTCCCAGGGCCCAGCCCATTGTGGGAATCCGACTGGAAACCTTTACCACCCCTTTCCCCATTTTAATTGAAGTAATGAAATTTGTACCTGCCCTTCCCTTCCTTGGCAGTTATGGAAAACCGTTTAAACACCTTTTATCTCGGGTGGAATGTATTTTGCCCCAAAAACACGAAATTTTCCCCCATGGTACATACAGGCAGTCAGTACACTCGAGTACTCCCCTGAAGGGTGACGTGGGACAAGGGCCCCCCAGAGCCCTGTATTAGTACGGGTTTTAACCCCCCTAGTACAATGAGTTCCCTTTTTATCGCAGAAAAATTATCTAACCCGTGTAATTTTTTAAACCGAATGTTGGGAGGACTTCACTGGGCGCTTCGGGATAATGCCCTGTGCTTTCTTCTTTTTCCTGCTTTGTTTTCTTCTGCTGTAGGCAGGTCCCGGGGCACCCATGGGCAGGCGGGAAAAGTCCCACTGCTCACAATTGTGTACTTGTGAGGTGTTGAAATTAATAAGCTAAATCATTGAAACTAATTTAGTTAAAAAACGTATAAGCGTAGTGTTTGGGTACATTGGGTTATGGGTTTCTTAACAGTTTATTTTTAAAAATTAAGAGTATATAAAGAAATGGGGGGCCCCCCAACATGGGGAAGGGGTAAAGGCTGCACCCCTTTTCCCCCCAATTTTTAATGGTTTGGGAAAAAACCCAACCTGCGAAAATTTCCACAAGCCGAGTATTTCCTGATTTCGGACAACCCTCCCATGTGTTTTTTTTAAAAAAACCCGGGAAAATGTCCTTCGGGTAAATAGTCATAAACCCTCAACAATATTTTCCCGAAGTCAGATAATAACCGAAAAGTCATTTGTAAGTCTTTAGTAGAAATTTTAAATTTTTAGAGAGATTCTAATTGTAAAACAAGCCCTTGTTTTGGAAGAAATTTTGAAATTTTTCAGGAAAAACCCCTAATTTTCAGAAGAAATTTAAACGAAAACTTTTCCGTCCTACTAGCCGGGTAAACACACACACACACACAACCACACCACCACAACACACACACACACACAAAACAACACACACCCCAACACACACATAACACACACACATACAAAACACACACCACAACCAACTTTACATACACACTAAAACACACCACACACATAAAAAATACCATACAAAATAACATACACCCCAATAACACACCCCAACACCCCACACACACACACAACACCCCACACAATACAAACACAACACACACACACACATACACAAAAAATTAAACATACACACAAAAAACCACACAACACAATAACCCCTAAAAACACATAACACACATAAAAGGACGGGATGTTCCAGGGGGGGAAACAAAAACAAGAGGCCAAATTTTTGGAATTTTAAAACCCACAAATGATCAGAGAGATAGTAGGAAGTATTTCTTCAGTCTTTTGAGTTGTAAGGGCAGTGGAATAGTAGAAAAAGGGTTAGTGGAGGCGGGAAACATAAAAACATTTTTTAAGCGGGGTTTATAAAGCTAATGGAGCGGGGAGGGGGGAGGGTCTAGTAAAAAACCGGGGGGGGGGGCCCAAAGGAGTTTAGGACTGGGCCCCTTTGAAACCCAAAAATGGGTGAGTACAAATAGGTGAGAAACCCTTACACATATACACTTTCAAAACACACCTTTAACATACACACAACACCCCATACATAAAACATGTTTTGCTGAATAGGTAAATTGGTCGGGTTAGCAAAAAATTTTTAAGATTAACCCTTTCAAAAAATTCTTATACTTTTGGAAAAAAAATTTTTTTATTTTTTTAAATGTAAAAAATTAATATTTTTGTATCAAAAAAACCTTAAAAAACTTACCTAACCTTATTATAACAAGGAAATTTTTAATTTTTTAAAATTTTCTTTTAATTTTTGGATTGGGGCTACTTTTACAAAAATTTTAATAAACAAACATAAAATTTTTCGTTGGGTTTTCAGAAGTTTTTTGCGAAATCATTTGCATACGAAATTTTTTTCGTTGCCTTTTTGGGCCCAAAAAGGGAGCTTTTGCTTTAAGCCCAAAAACGGCACGACATATTTTATCTGTGCAAAATGCATGTTCACAAAACCCCCACCAGAGAGCAAAAGAGCAGGAAAAAAAGGTTTACTGGGCCTTTCACATTTCAATTGCAAAAGTTTTTTTTAAAAGTTAAGGGAAAACCCGGACGTTCTTGATGACTTTTCTACTACTGCCTCCTGCGCTTTTTAAATGGTCTTGTCCCTTGGTACATCTGTTTCCCCCCGTCTTAATAATCCCCCCACCTGTCCAACAACCGGGTCAACTCCAGCTGCAACAAAGCAAGGGCGGGTAACCCGGGTGTCAGGGTGAAGTGGACAGACAAGTAATGTGGGGGTTTAGGTGAGGTAGGTGAAAGGGGGGTGTTTTGAAACCCGGGGGAAAGGGGAAAAGGAAAAGATAGTTTAGTTGAAGTCTCTTGTTAAGGTTGGGTGCAGTAGGACACCCTGGGGGCCTAAACACCAAGTCTCACCCTGGGGCTGCTCACACAATAAGACCATTATGAAGTGATGTTATATACGCCTTTTTTGACTAACATTCTCGTATTTTATTATAAATATAAATAACCCAAAAACTGAAAACGCAAATGAGTTTACCTTGTCAGCCTCGAGAGCTTGTCTGGCGAGGGAGAGGTGCAGCAGTTCCTGCTTGACCGAGGCTGTGGTGGCTTCTACCAACTCTGAGGGATGCAGTGTCTGGCCTACCCTCGACGATGTTGTCTCAACCTCCTGTCAACCTCGGGAATGTTAGTCAACCTGCCCACCACTTTAAGAATAGGTTTGAGGAATATTTGATAGGGGGTGTTATCTTAGAAGAATCTGCCAAGTATGGACCAGCAGACCTGCTACAGTGTTCCTCCAGCTTTACGTTCTTAGTAAGTTATGTAACGTGTTTAATTATTTAAATCTACAAAACATAAACGTTTTTGCACATTAAAAAATTTGCATTATTGATATTACTATGCTAAGTGAGCCCGCATGCAAGTGACAATTCAGACATTACAGGTATCAGGTGCCACAAATGTGGGTTACATTGTAACATGAAAGACTTTAGGTGCAACATTGGTCACCTGAGATATGACAAGTGTCACTGAGGGAGAAAATAACATGCAAAACCTGTCCAGTCTACCACCAGGTAACACTCATCAGTACTGATAACCTCCGTAACAGTACTAGTAACCCCCATGACTATACTAATAACGCTCATAACTATACTAATAACCTCCGTAACAGTGCTAATGACCCCATGGCTATATTAATAACTTTCATAACAGTACTAGTAACCTCCATGGCTATATTAATAACCTTCATAACAGTACTAGTAACCTCCATGGCTATATTAATAACCTTCATAACAGTACTAGTAACCTCCATGGCTATATTAATAACCTTCATAACAGTACTAGTAAGCTCCATGCATATTAATAACCTTCATAAAGTACTAGTAACCTCCATGGCTATATTAAAAACCTTCAAAAACAGTACTAGTAACCTCCATGGCTATATTAATAACCTTCATAACATACTGGTAACCTCCATGGCTATATTAATAAACCTTCATAACAGTACTGGTAACCTCCATGGCTATATTAATAACCTTCATAACAGTACTGGTAACCTCCATGGCTATATTAATAACCTTCATAACAGTACTGGTAACCTCCATGGCTATATTAATAACCTTCATAACAGTACTGGTAACCTCCATGGCTATGTTAATAACCTTCATAACAGTACTGGTAACCTCCATGGCTATATTAATAACTTTCATAACAGTACTAGTAACCTCCATGGCTATGTTAATAACCTTCATAACAGTACTAGTAACCTCCATGGCTATGTTAATAACCTTCATAACAGTACTAGTAACCTCCATGGCTATATTAATAGCCTTCATAACAGTACTAGTAACCTCCATGGCTATGTTAATAACCTTCATAACAGTACTAGTAACCTCCATGGCTATATTAATAGCCTTCATAACAGTACTAGTAACCTCCATGGCTATGTTAATAACCTTCATAACAGTGACTCAAGAAATCGTAATGACACGATTGCAAATAAACCTAGCTGGTCTAGTGGCTAACGCGACGGGCTGGAGTTTTGAGACTCTATGACCGCGGGTTCAATCCCGGCCGGGGGTATGGTTTCATAACAGTACTGGTAACCTCCATGGCTATATTAATAACCTTCATAACAGTACTAGTAACCTCCATGGCTATGTTAATAACCTTCATAACAGTACTAATAATCTCCAGGGCTATATTAATAACCTTCATAACAGTACTAGTAACCTCCATGGCTATATTAATAACCTTCATAACAGTACTAGTAACCTCCATGGCTATACTAATAACCTCCATAACTATACTAGGGACCTCCAAGATAGTAATAACCTGGATAACAACAAAGAGCAGTTACGCTACAACAGTGTGGTAGAAAATAACGGTGACCTTTAAGATGCTACAACACATGTATGCTACAGAATAAGGGACCTTTAAGATATGCTACGGCACGTGTTGACACCTACAAGAGGAGACCGGATCACTACCTACTAAGAGTTCCCAGGTTATAGTGTCTGTGGGCATGCGGGCCCCTGGCGGTAACAGTATAAATAACAAAAAGGCACAATACCGTGACTGGAACGATACACAAATAACCCGCACATAAAAGACAGAAGCTTACGACGACGTTTCGGTCCGACTTGGACCATTGACAAAGTCACACTAACAGGGGAGGAGCAGGACGGCTATATATAGGCAGGAAGAGGTGGAGGTAGTAGTAGTGGTAGTAGTAGTAGTAGTAGTAGAAACAAGAATTGTATATAATACCGACAGGATAAAAATGACACACGCACAACACCCGGGCATCCTCACCGTAGACGTTTCGCCATCCAGCCAGCCACTGGAAGGCGAAACGTCCACAACAAAGACAACCAGACGCCGCACATGTGTCTAATTTCATCATAGTTGTAGTAAAAGAAAAAAGGTAGTAGTAGTGGATTGGTAGAAGTGGGAAAAAGGAAGACGAGCCAGTCAAATAAAAAAGGAAGGGGAGAAACTGCAAAGAGCTAGAAACCCACAGAGGGAAGCAAGCGCACCGAGGTGCGTAAAAGGGGGAAGTGGTTTGAAATAAAATAAAGAAGGAACAGAAACACGAGACAGGAGAGAGAAAAAACAACCCAGAGGAGAAAAGGAGAGAGGAAAGGGAAGAGGGAGAAGAAAAAGAAGAAGAAGAAGAAAAAATGAGGATTCAGGTTAAGTCACGGGTTTCTGAAGTTTGGAGAAATTTTACAATGTAGGGGGAAAGAGGAAGGCATCTACAGAGACGAAGCCAGGGCTAAGGTTCATACAAGGAAAGTTGTGTTTTAAAGAGGGGAAATCAACTAAACGGCGACTGTTCGAGTTGGAAGTAGAGAAGACAGTTTTAGCAGAAGACCAGTCAATAGGATGGCTATGATCTCTGACGTGACAGAAAAGAGCATTGTTAGTGTCGGCAAGCCTAACACTATTTTGTGCTCCCTAAGAGTCTGTCAGAAAGAGATCGCCCAGTTTTCCAAAGTATTGAAAGGACAGGAGGAGCAAGAAATAGAGTAGACACCAGGAACATCTTAAGGGAGGAAAGAGGTATGAACGAGATTAGTGCGAAGAGTGTTAAGTCTGGCGGAAGGTAAGCTTAGTCTAAGGGACGGAGAGAATTGTTGAGATTAGAAAGACCGGAAAGTAGGGAAGGCAGAGGATAGAAGATTCCCATGCGTAAGAGTTTGGGAGAGAAGAAATTGCGTTTAGCACGTGAGAGGGCAGAGTCAATGAAATGGGAAGGTAACCAAGACGGAGAACGAATTATAAAGGGGGAAATTTCTGCTGGAAGGAACTGAGGATCACAGATGCGGAGGGCACGGAAAAAGAGGGAGATAAGAACACTTTTCTTGACAGGGGAAGCATGATAGGAAAAGTAGTGAATGTACATGCCACTGGGGCATAGGTTTACGGTAAACGGAAAAGGAAAAACCTGTATCTGAGCGGGGGACAGGGAAACATCAAGGAAAGGAAGAAAGGGAAAATTAGATTCCCATTCAGCTTTAAACTTAATGGAAGGGGCAAGATTGTTAAGAGCTTCAAGAAAAGGGTTTGGGAAGAGACTGAGTCCATGAGGCCACAGAGCAAAAGATGTCATCCACATAGCGGAGCCAGAGTGAAGGTTGCACATCGAGGGTAGGAAGAAGAAAAAGTCTCGAAGTATTCCAGTAAAAATTAGCAAGGGCAGGAGAGAGAGGAGAGCCCATAGCGACACCGAAGGTTTGGGAATAATATTTCCCTTGGAAGGAAAAGGAGTTAGAGTCCACACAGAGGCGGATCAGATCAAAAAGACATCAGTGGGGATAGGAGATGAAGAAACCCTTCATTGGGCCTTCTCTCTAAGGAAATCAAGGACAAACATCAAGAGGGACATTGGTGAAGAGGGACTCAACGTCAAGACTAAGCATCTTACAGGTTGGGAGAGAGCGAACCCGTTCAATGAAATCTTGAGAGGACGGAGGGTGGCAGGAGAAAAAGTACCAAAAAAAGGGAGTGAGGGTTTTGGCCAGCCAAGAAGCAAGAGAAAAAACAGAACCTCTAAGGAATGATAGGACGAAGAGGAATATCAGGGTTTATGAGTTTTGGAAGGGCCCTAGAAATAAAGGGGAAAAGAGGGACAGATGACACGAAACCGTTTAACAAAGGGCAAAGTCAGGAGGACAGAGTCGGAGAGAGTCCTTATTTTTTGTTTAAAGTTCTCTTGATGCGATCAAGAGGTTGGAAACGAGAGGAGTGTAGGTGCGTGAGTCAGAGAGCAAGACAACAGCTTTACGGAGGTAATCCTCGCGATCAAGGATAACTACCGAATTACCTTTTGTCAGAAGATAGTATGACAATGTTAGTGTTAGATTTAAGAGAAGAAAGGGCAAATTGGTAACGGCGTGGAAGGTGGTGATTCTTGGAGAACAGACTAACAAGAGCAGGAAGGAGAGCACCACGAAAAGTGGACAAGTCAGGAAAAATTACGGAAGCGAGATTGACGAAAGGAAATCAAAAGAGCTAATCAGGGGAAAAACCCGCGCGAGGAGTAGGCGAATTGCAAAGGAAAGACCAAAACCAAGAAGTTCAAGCTCAATACTGAAGAGTGAGACAGAAACAGATTTGTAACACAGTCAGTGAGGGAGAATTTAGACCAAGGGGTACTGAGAAAGAGACTACTGAGAAATTTGACACATGTGCGGCGTCTGGTTGTCTTTGTTGTGGACGTTTCGCCATCCAGTGGCTGGCTGGATGGCGAAACGTCTACGGTGAGGATGCCCGGGTGTTGTGCGTGTGTCATTTCATCCTGTCGGTATTATATACAATTCTTGTACTACTACTACTACTACTACTACCACTACTACTACCTCCACCTCTTCCTGCCTATATATAGCCGTCCTGCTCCTCCCCTGTTAGTGTGACTTTGTCAATGGTCCAAGTCGGACCGAAACGTCGTCGTAAGCTTCTGTCTTTTATGTGCGGGTTATTTGGGTAACAGTATAGCTGACCAGTCAGTAAACAAGGTAGTCTGGCAACAGAGCGGGATAAGGTTGAAGTATCGTCTTAACTAGTCACATAGGTACGACACTCGTCTAGGTTGGTGTGGACAAGATGACTCAAGATACAACTTAACGTTATATTTCTAATAATATATTTTGTTATTAGTGATAATGCATTTCAGCTGTATTAATGTTTCTATAAAATTACAACATCTAGGAGATAATTTACAAGAAGCAAAACCTACATGAAAGGAACACACAGGTTTGTGTTTTAAGATGATAATCTAGATATATGTGCAACACTTGGGTATCCATGTCAAGATTGATGGAGAGATATAGACACTAGGCTGAGGGACTGATTACCAAACTCCTTCTGATCTTCACCATTCTTCTTTGTACTGGACTGATGAAGCTCCTGTGTGGCGAAACGTTTCCTTAATAAAGATAACAAAGTGTTACACATGTGTCTAATTTATCAACTAGCCAGTTCTCGGAACTATTTATCTACACATAATGTCGAAGTTGATAATTTTGTTCTGGTGAGAGTTGAAACAAGCAGCAAGTGCTTCTCACAAGGTATATAATACCAAGAGATACAGAAGTGTTAAATGTGCTACGTCAGGAACTTTAATAAAAGTTACGTAACGTTGCCCCCAGGTATCTCATACAATTGCTTCTTGAGTGTCCTGAACATGCATCACCAGGAGGAACAGTATTAAAGTTAACTTCTCCAACACTACTTGGCATGCATGTGTACCGTCTTCTAGTCAAAATTGTCTAAAGTCTCATTACAGTAACATACCTCTATTACTTTGGAATTAAGTATTCGAAAGCATTCTAAACTTTGCTGAAGTCACTGTAGTTTCCCATTAATTCAGGAAATAATGGATCTACACTATAGCATATTTACACTACTGGAATCGCTTATATGGTGCTACATGTGGCATCACGGAAAACCTCGTTATTTTAAGCTGCTTAAAGGCAATGAATACTTGAAGCTTCAGGAGGTCTACATCACGTTGACTGACTTCCAGCTGTTAAGCTATTACTACTAACAAAGATGGCGGACTAGACGCAATGTTATATAAACAAGAACAGGGGTAGTGTGGCAGATAATCACCACTAAGAAGTACCTGGCGAGAGTGGCGCTTGTGGCTCCTGTGGTTGCCTGAAGAGTCCTTGGAGCTTTTCCTTAGGAAATCTCTGTTACAATCATCCCTGTTGTGGGCGTCTTTCGGAGACTTGTCTTTGCTGTGTGGTGTTTTGGTGGGGATGTCCATGCCCTGCCATGTTCTGATGTGGATGTCCTGATCGTAACACGTTCTGACGGGCGACTCCCTGTCTTGACATGTTTTGATGCAGCTGTCCGCACCTCGACACGTCTTGATGGAAATGTCTTTGAGGCGACATTTTCTAATGGGACTCTCCTTTCCGTGACATGTTTTGCTTGGACTCTCCTTCTCTCTACATGTTTTGCTTGGACTCTCTTTCTCTCTACATGTTTTGCTTGGACTCTCTTTCTCTCTACATGTTTTGCTTGGACTCTCCTTCTCTCTACATATTTTGGTTGGACTCTCCTTCCCGTTATATTTTTTATGACTCTCTCTGTGGGTGACTTTGGTAGGACTTTCCTTGTCAACAGATAGACTCGAAGGAATGTAGTCCAAGAGTGTGTCGCTAGAAGAATTGTTGTTGGGGTTGAGGCTGGTGGGGTGTTGGTTGAAACGCTGGTGGGGGTGTTGGTTGTGGGGGAGCTCCTGGAGGTGCACACACCACGACTCTCCACCTCCGTCGTGCTCTGCAGCTGTAACACCACCAAACTATAACTGCTGATCTACTACCTAACTATATTAACCCATTCTCCTAAGAAGCTAAATTTTATTGCTATCCTGTATTGAGTTTCTCTCATGCTCTGTGCGGAACATATCATGGAGACCACTTAGAACTGTGTGAGCATCCTGACGAGTGTTGTAATGGCCAGGTATTACTTTTGTGTATCTCAAAACTAAAGCACTTGATAAGGCTTTTATAAGAACAGCATATATCTGTGTGAGAACATTAGTAATTGAGATTAATGAGAAGACACTACTGACATTTAATCAACGCGGCTATTGCTACTGGCGGCCCACTGGCCCACATACCCATCACAGCCTAGTTAATTCTCAAGACCTTGCTGACTACTTAGATGTTAGGTTTTGTGTTGTCAAGAACACTGAGTGACCTCCCAGGTCGCTACACTCTACAGTTCTTACAACTTCCTCCCCATCAAGAGGGGGAGAGGGTGACCTGATGCTGAGGGACGGCTCATGATCCAGTGAACTAGAGTTGCCCTCTCCACGGATCAAACCTGTTGTATCTCGCATACCCCAGGACGTGGTATGACCCTTACTGATATAACATCAACATGAAGTAATAACTGGACTCCCTTGTCAAGGTAAACAGATAAATTTATTTATAAAATTATCAATGTGTATTTATGGGCAAGTGCTAAAATCCGTAGGGGTCATAGAGCGCCTGACCTCAGGAATGGTGGAAAAAAGGAAGGGTAGCTCCATTTCCTTGAAAGAAAAGTACTTTACCAGCATAATGCACTTTTCCGTTGAAGGGTCAGATGGTTAACAGTTTACCACTTGCAAGTGGCAGATAAGACGCCCACTTTATATATTGGTAACCTAGAGCGTAAATGTTGAAAATTTCTTGTGATGATGATGTAGATATGTTTGTGAGGGTCGGCAACGTACTACAAGAAACTGAACAAGTATATACTCTGGAAGACAGGAATAAATAAAGGTGATGTAAATAGTGTGCTGAAAATATCTAGCCTAGACAGGACTCGCAGCAATGGTTTTAAGTTGGAAAAATTCAGATTCAGGAAGGAAAATAGGAAAGTATGGTTTGGTAATAGAGTTGTGGATGAGTGGAACAAACTCCCGAGTACAGTTATAGAGCCAGAACGTTGTGTAGCTTAAAAATAGGTTGGATAAATACATGAGTGGATGTGGGTGGGTGTGAGTTGGACCTGATAGCTTGTGCTACCAGGTCGGTTGCCGTGTTCCTCCCTTAAGTCAATGTGACCTGACCTGACTAGGTTGGGTGCATTGGCTTAAGCCGGTAGGAGACTTGGACCTGCCTCGCATGGGCCAGTAGGCCTTCTGCAGTGTTCCTTCGTTCTTATGTTCTTATGAATACACACGAATTTTGTTCCATATTGATGGCCAGTGCTTGAGGGAAAGTGAAGCACCCAGTTATACACTCTTAATAGTTAACCAAAGTATACACACTTAATACTTATCCATTGTATATACACTTAATACTTATCCATTGTATATAGACTTAATAACCAAAGTATTAAACCCTCAAAGAAAAGGTCGACTATAATTATCGGGTAGTTGTAGCAGCACGTAAATGACCAGCTACAAGAACACTTTATACAACGTGTGTGGTTTTCCAGCCAGTAATCGGCTACGAGGCTAATATATTGACCTATTTCTACTGTCGATGTAGACCGAACCATCTACAGCCTTTGTAAACTTTGCCGGTAGAATTACTCTGGCACCTGGCACACCTATACATTTTATTATGCAAAAGAAAAATGTCATCAAATCATCTTCAGAGAAATGTGTATCCACTGTATCCATAATGTATCACTCGTATCACAACCATGTATTTCACAGTCCCAGCCATGTATGAATTTCACAATCCCAGCCAAGTAAGTAGTAGATAAATCAGACACATGTGCAACTCTTGGGTATCTTTATTGAGGAAACGTTTCGCCACACAGTGGCTTCATCAGTCCATACAAAGGAGAATCTTGAAGAACAGGAGGAGAATGAGGTAATCAGTCCCTCAACTTTGAGTCGATGTGGTCAGTCCATCAATCTTGAATAGAATACGGCATACGTGCTGAGAAGGAGCTTATAAACCGTTGGCAGGAGAGGTGCAGCAGTCATAGGTGGTGTAACATTTGTTCAATGTTGAAGTAGGTCGTGCCCAAGAATTAGGCAAGCGAAGAATTCCCAAGTATTAAGATCCCAAGAATTCCCAAGTATTAAGATCCTGCCAACGGTTTATAAGCTCCTTCTCCGCACGTATGCCGTATTCTATTCAAGATTGATGGACTGACCACATCGACTCAAGGTTGAGGGACTGATTACCTCATTCTCCTCCTGTTCTTCAAGATTCTCCTTTGTATGGACTGATGAAGCCACTGTGTGGCGAAACGTTTCCTCAATAAAGATACCCAAGAGTTGCACATGTGTCTAATTTATCAACATGTCGGTTCTCTGAACCATTCATCTACAAGTAAGTAGTAGTAGTAGCAGTAGTAGTATCGTAGATAACCATCTATGGGCTTACTATCCTCCTGTCTTAGCATTATCATCATCATCATCATAACTATCCTGTCATAGGACTGCGATGGGAAAACTTGTTAAATATTTTACGGTTTAAGACGATTGTTGATTTTTTCAGTCTGGTACATACACTGTCTGGTACATACACTGTCTGGTACATACACTGTCTGGTACATACACTGTCTGGTACATACACTGTCTGGTACATACACTGTCTGGCACATACACTGTCTGGTACATACACTGTCTGGTACATACACTGTCTGGCACATACACTGTCTGGCACATACACTGTCTGGTACATACACTGTCTGGTACATACACTGTCTGGTACATACACTGTCTGGTACATACACTGTCTGGCACATACACTGTCTGGTACATACACTGTCTGGTACATACACTGTCTGGTACATACACTGTCTGGTACATACACTGTTGGTACATACACTGTCTGGTACATACACTGTCTGGTACATACACTGTCTGGCACATACACTGTCTGGTACATACACTGTCTGGTACATACACTGTCTGGCACATACACTGTCTGGTACATACACTGTCTGGTACATACACTGTCGGGTACATACACGTCTGGTACATACACTGTCTGGTACATACACTGTCTGGTACATACTCTGTCTGGCACATACACTGTCTGGTACATACACTGTCTGGCACATACACTGGCACATACACTGTTTGGCACATACACTGTCTGGTACATACACTGTCTGGCACATACACTGTTTGGCACATACACTGTTTGGCACATACACTGTCTGGTACATACACTGTCTGGTACATTGTCTGGCACATACACTGTCTGGTACATACACTGTCTGGTACATACACTGTCTGGTACATACACTGTCTGGTACATACACTGTCTGGTACATACACTGTTTGGCACATACACTGTCTGGTACATACACTGTCTGGCACATACACTGTCTGGTACATACACTGTCTGGTACATACACTGTCTGGTACATACACTGTCTGGTACATACACTGGCACATACACTGTCTGGCACATACGCTGTCTGGTACATACACTGGCACATACACTGTCTGGCACATACACTGTTTGGCACATACATTGTCTGGTACATACACTGTCTGGTACATACACTGTCTGGTACATACACTGTCTGGCACATACACTGTCTCGTACATACACTGTCTGGCACATACACTGGTACACACACTGTCTGGTACATACACTGTCTGGTACATACACTGCCTGGTACATACACTGTCTGGTACATACACTGTCTGGCACATACACTGTCTGGTACATACACTGTCTGGTACATACACTGTCTGGTACACACACTGTCTGGTACATACACTGTCTGGTACATACACTGCCTGGCACATACACTGTCTGGTACATACACTGCCTGGCACATACACTGTCTGGTACATACACTGTCTGGCACATACACTGTCTGGTACACACACTGTCTGGTACATACACTGTCTGGTACACACACTGTCTGGTACATACAAATGTCTGGCACATACACTGTCTGGTACACACACTGTCTGGCACATACACTGTCTGGTACACACACTGCCTGGCACATACACTGTCTGGTACATACACTGTCTGGTACACACACTGTCTGGTACACACACTGTCTGGTACACACACTGTCTGGTACACACACTGTCTGGTACATACACTGTCTGGTACATACACTGTCTGGCACATACACTGTCTGGCACATACACTGTCTGGCACATACACTGTCTGGTACATACACTGTCTGGTACACACACTGTCTGGGACATACACTGTCTGGCACATACACTGTCTGGTACATACACTGCCTGGCACATACACTGTCTGGTACATACACTGTCTGGTACATACACTGTCTGGTACATACACTGTCTGGTACATACACTGTCTGGTACATACACTGTCTGGTACATACACTGTCTGGTACATACACTGTCTGGTACATACACTGTCTGGTACACACACTGTCTGGTACATACACTGCCTGGCACATACACTGTCTGGTACATACACTGTCTGGTTTCATACACTGTCTGGTACATACACTGTCTGGCACATACACTGTCTGGTACATACACTGTCTGGTACATACACTGTCTGGCACATACACTGTCTGGTACATACATTGTCTGGTACATACACTGTCTGGCACATACACTGTCTGGTACATACACTGTCTGGTACATACACTGTCTGGTACATACACTGTCTGGTACATACACTGGCACATACACTGTCTGGCACATACGCTGTCTGGTACATACACTGGCACATACACTGTCTGGCACATACACTGTTTGGCACATACATTGTCTGGTACATACACTGTCTGGTACATACACTGTCTGGTACATACACTGTCTGGCACATACACTGTCTCGTACATACACTGTCTGGCACATACACTGGTACACACACTGTCTGGTACATACACTGTCTGGTACATACACTGCCTGGTACATACACTGTCTGGTACATACACTGTCTGGCACATACACTGTCTGGTACATACACTGTCTGGTACATACACTGTCTGGTACACACACTGTCTGGTACATACACTGTCTGGTACATACACTGCCTGGCACATACACTGTCTGGTACATACACTGCCTGGCACATACACTGTCTGGTACATACACTGTCTGGCACATACACTGTCTGGTACACACACTGTCTGGTACATACACTGTCTGGTACACACACTGTCTGGTACATACACTGTCTGGCACATACACTGTCTGGTACACACACTGTCTGGCACATACACTGTCTGGTACACACACTGCCTGGCACATACACTGTCTGGTACATACACTGTCTGGTACACACACTGTCTGGTACACACACTGTCTGGTACACACACTGTCTGGTACACACACTGTCTGGTACATACACTGTCTGGTACATACACTGTCTGGCACATACACTGTCTGGCACATACACTGTCTGGCACATACACTGTCTGGTACATACACTGTCTGGTACACACACTGTCTGGTACATACACTGTCTGGCACATACACTGTCTGGTACATACACTGCCTGGCACATACACTGTCTGGTACATACACTGTCTGGTACATACACTGTCTGGTACATACACTGTCTGGTACATACACTGTCTGGTACATACACTGTCTGGTACATACACTGTCTGGTACATACACTGTCTGGTACACACACTGTCTGGTACATACACTGTCTGGTACATACACTGCCTGGCACATACACTGTCTGGTACATACACTGTCTGGTACATACACTGTCTGGTACATACACTGTCTGGCACATACACTGTCTGGTACATACACTGTCTGGTACATACACTGTCTGGCACATACACTGTCTGGTACATACATTGTCTGGTACATACACTGTCTGGCACATACACTGTCTGGTACATACACTGTCTGGTACATACACTCTGCTAGATAATTATCATAAGAAACGTTACTCTGTCTTACGCGTCAACATCACAAATGTCTCCTGACGGTGTTGTCATATACTTACCCTCTCTTAGTCCATGCTTAAGAATCCACTAACTTACTGCACTAGATTTTTCATCCAATAAATAAAAAATATTTCTCATTTTAAAGTACTGATATGATGGCACTGTGTGTAGTCTTCTGAGAAGGGTAGTAATGATGTGATGGCACTGTGTGTAGTCTTCTGAGAAGGGTAGTAGTGATGTGATGGCACTGTGTGTAGTCTTCTGAGAAGGGTAGTAATGATGTTGCACTGTGTGTAGTCTTCTGAGAAGGGTAGTAATGATGTGATGGCACTGTGTGTAGTCTTCTGAGAAGGGTAGTAATGATGTGATGGCACTGTGTGTAGTCTTCTGAGAAGGTAGTAAGATGTGATGGCACTGTGTGTAGTCTTCTGAGAAGGGTAAGTAGTGATGTGATGGCACTGTGTGTAGTCTTCTGAGAAGGGGAGTAATGATGTGATGGCACTGTGTGTAGTCTTCTGAGAAGGGTAGTAGTGATGTGATGGCACTGTGTGTAGTCTTCTGAGAAGGGTAGTAATGATGTGATGGCACAGTGTGTAGTCTTCTGAGAAGGGTAGTAGTGATGTGATGGCACTGTGTGTAGTCTTCTGAGAAGGGTAGTAGTGATGTGATGGCACTGTGTGTAGTCTTCTGAGAAGGGTAGTAGTGATGTGATGGCACTGTGTGTAGTCTTCTGAGAAGGGTAGTACTGATGTGATGGCACTGTGTGTAGTCTTCTGAGAAGGGTAGTACTGATGTGATGGCACTGTGTGTAGTCTTCTGAGAAGGGTAGTAGTGATATGATGGCACTGTGTGTAGTCTTCTGAGAAGGGTAGTAGTGATATGATGGCACTGTGTGTAGTCTTCTGAGAAGGGTAGTAAATGATGTGATGGCACTGTGTGTAGTCTTCTGAGAAGGGTAGTAGTGATGTGATGGCACTGTGTGTAGTCTTCTGAGAAGGGTAGTAGTGATGTGATGGCACTGTGTGTAGTCTTCTGAGAAGGGTAGTAGTGATGTGATGGCACTGTGTTAGTCTTCTGAGAAGGGTAGTAGTGATGGATGGCACTGTGTGTAGTCTTCTGAGAAGGGTAGTACTGATGTGATGGCACTGTGTGTAGTCTATCTGAGAAGGTATGTAGTGATATGATGGCACTGTGTGTAGTCTTCTGAGAAGGGTAGTAGTGTTTTGATGGCACTGTGTAGTCTTCTGAGAAGGGTAGTAGTGATGTGATGGCACTGTGTGTAGTCTTCTGAGAAGGGTAGTAGTGATGTGATGGCACTGTGTGTAGTCTTCTGAGAAGGGTAGTAGTGATGTGATGGCACTGTGTGTAGTCTTCTGAGAAGGGTAGTAGTGATGTGATGGCACTGTGTGTAGTCTTCTGAGAAGGGTAGTACTGATGTGATGGCACTGTGTGTAGTCTTCTGAGAAGGGTAGTACTGATGTGATGGCACTGTGTGTAGTCTTCTGAGAAGGGTAGTAGTGATGTGATGGCACTGTGTGTAGTCTTCTGAGAAGGGTAGTAGTGATGTTATGGCACTGTGTGTAGTCTTCTGAGAAGGTAGTACTGATGTGATGGCACTGTGTGTAGTCTTCTGAGAAGGTAGTAGTGATGTGATGGCACGTGTGTAGTCTTCTGGAAAGGTAGTAGTGATGTGATGGCACTGTGTGTAGTCTTCTGGAAGGGTAGTACTGATGTGATGGCACTGTGTGTAGTCTTCTGAGAAGGGTAGTAGTGATGTGATGGCACTGTGTGTAGTCATTCTGAGAAGGTAGTAGTGATGTGATGGCACTGTGTGTAGTCTTCTGAGAAGGTAGTACTGATGTGATGGCACTGTGTGTAGTCTTCTGAGAAGGGTAGTAGTGGATGTGATGGCACTGTGTGTAGTCTTCTGAGAAGGGTAGTACTGATGTGATGGCACTGTGTGTAGTCTTCTGAGAAGGGTAGTAGTGATGTGATGGCACTGTGTGTAGTCTTCTGAGAAGGGTAGTAGTGATGTGATGGCACTGTGTGTAGTCTTCTGAGAAGGGTAAATATGATGTGATGGCACTGTGTGTAGTCTTCTGAGAAGGGTAGTAGTGATGTGATGGCACTGTGTGTAGTCTTCTGAGAAGGGTAGTAATGATGTGATGGCACTGTGTGTAGTCTTCTGAGAAGGGTAGTACTGATGTGATGGCACTGTGTGTAGTCTTCTGAGAAGGGTAGTAGTGATGTGATGGCACTGTGTGTAGTCTTCTGAGAAGGGTAGTAGTGATGTGATGGCACTGTGTGTAGTCTTCTGAGAAGGGTAGTACTGATGTGATGGCACTGTGTGTAGTCTCTGAGAAGGGTAGTACTGATGTGATGGCACTGTGGTAGTCTTCTGAGAAGGGGAGTAGTGATGTGATGGCACTGTGTGTAGTCTTCTGAGAAGGGTAGTAGTGATGTGATGGCACTGTGTGTAGTCTTCTGAGAAGGGTAGTAGTGATGTGATGGCACTGTGTGTAGTCTTCTGAGAAGGGTAGTAGTGATGTGATGGCACTGTGTGTAGTCTTCTGAGAAGGGTAGTACTGATGTGATGGCACTGTGTGTAGTCTTCTGAGAAGGGTAGTACTGATGTGATGGCACTGTGTGTAGTCTTCTGAGAAGGGTAGTAGTGATGTAATGGCACTGTGTGTAGTCTTCTGAGAAGGGTAGTACTGATGTGATGGCACTGTGTGTAGTCTTCTGAGAAAAGGGTAGTAGTTTATGTGATGGCACTGTGTGTTAGTCTTCTGAGAAGGGTAGTAGTGATAGTGATGGCACTGTGTGTAGTCTTCTGAGAAGGGTAGTAGTGATGTGATGGCACTGTGTGTAGTCTTCTGAGAAGGGTAGTAATGATGTGATGGCACTGTGTGTAGTCTTCTGAGAAGGGTAGTAGTGATGTGATGGCACTGTGTGTAGTCTTCTGAGAAGGGTAGTAGTGATGTGATGGCACTGGTGTGGTCTTCTGAGAAGGGTAGTAGTGATGTGATGGCACTGTGTGTAGTCTTCTGAGAAGGGTAGTAGTGATGTGATGGCACTGTGTGTGGTCTTCTGAGAAGGGTAGAGTGTGATGTGATGGCACTGTGTGTAGTCTTCTGAGAAGGGTAGTAGTGATGTGATGGCACTGTGTGTAGTCTTCTGAGAAGGGTAGTAGTGATGTGATGGCACTGTGTGTAGTCTTCTGAGAAGGGTAGTAGTGATGTGATGGCACTGTGTGTAGTCTTCTGAGAAGGGTAGTAGTGATGTGATGGCACTGTGTGTAGTCTTCTGAGAAGGGTAGTAGTGATGTGATGGCACTGTGTGTGTGGAATAGTCTTAATAAGAACGAAGTAATGGCAACATAATGGAAACAGTGGCAACGGTGGAATTGTTTATCAGAAGTAGAAATGGAAGCATGTTAATGATAGTTAACTTATAAAATATCTCTACATTGTATCTTGAAAGATTTACGTGAACTCTGCATGTGAGACATGTTTGTACTTGATCATAACGTCGACCTGCTAACACCTGGGAATCTGAAACATGCACGATAACTCTTGTAGTGACAGTGATGAACACTGACTGGGGATTTACTCTAACAATAACAGACATCGTGTAAAATTTAAGAAAAATATTTGAATTATTTTATATAAAGCTCTAAACCCGTGTGAGGTCACTTGGCACAAGATGTGGAGGCTCGATCCTCCGTAAGACGGTGCTTCCAGCCAGGCTTCCATATAATAAACTGGAAGATAAATCAGAAATGTAAAATAAAATCTGTAAAAGCATCAAAACGGAGGATTTTAACTTGATATGAGAGTTTATTTGTGTAATGTGTGTGTGTGTGTGTGTGTGTACTCACCTAGTTGAGGTTGCGGGGGTCGAGTCCGAGCTCCTGGCCCCGCCTCTTCACTGATCGCTACTAGGTCACTCTCCCTGAGCCGTGAGCTTTATCGTACCTCTGCTTAAAGCTATGTATGGATCCTGCCTCCACTACATCGCTTCCCAAACTATTCCACTTACTGACTACTCTGTGGCTGAAGAAATACTTCCTAACATCCCTGTGATTCATCTGTGTCTTTAGCTTCCAACTGTGTCCCCTTGTTACTGTGCCAATCTCTGGAACATCCTGTTTTTGTCCACCTTGTCAATTCCTCTCAGTATTTTGTATGTCGTTATCATGTCCCCCCTATCTCTCCTGTCCTCCAGTGTCGTCAGGTTGATTTCCCTTAACCTCTCCTCGTAGGACATACTCTTAGCTCTGGGACTAGTCTGTTGCAAACCTTTGCACTTTCTCTAGTTTCTTTACGTGCTTGGCTAGGTGTGGGTTCCAAACTGGTGCCGCATACTCCAATATGGGCCTAACGTATACGGTGTACAGGGTCCTGAACGATTCCTTATTAAGATGTCGGAATGCTGTTCTGAGGTTTGCTAGGCGCCCATATGCTGCAGCAGTTATTTGGTTGATGTGCGCTTCAGGAGATGTGCCTGGTGTTATACTCACCCCAAGATCTGTGTGTGTGTGTGTGTGTGTGTGTGTGTGTGTGTGTGTGTGTGTGTGTGTGTGTGTGTGTGTTGCTATTATTGTGAATATTCCATATATTTTTCTACGTGAGCGTTTACTGACCTTTGCGGTCAAGGTGCTCCGTAAAGGTCAACTACTACTACTACTACTAGTGGTAGTAGTACTACTACTACTACCATACCAGCGGTCAGCGACATTGAAGGTGTACAGATATGATGGTGAAGCGATAAACTGTTAGGGGGCAACAGAGCGCCTGGTATGAGGAAGAGAAGAGAGTGAGGTGAAGTATCTGTCAGCTTCAAGCTTCACCTCTGAGGTGGGGTGGTTAGGAGAGGGTGGGGGTCGAGACCTGAGCATCACCTCAGCTGGAGGCTGCACCCACCTATCTCATTTCTTCTTTACCTCTGTTACTGTACGTGATGCTGCAACACCAACCTAACATGTTCTAACTCCCTCATCACGTTGCTTGTATACATGGAGAGGGTTCCGGGGGTCAGCGCCCCCGTGGCCCGGTCTGTGACCAGGCCTCATGGTAGATCAGGGCCTGATCAACCAGGCTGTTACTGCTGGCCGCACGCAAACCGACGAACGAAGCACAGCCCAGCTGGTCAGGACTGACTTTAGATGCCTGTCCAGTGCCTTCTTGAAGACAGCCAAGGGTCTATTGGTAATACCCCTTATGTATGCTGGGAGGCAGCTGAACACTCTTGGACCCCTGACACTTACCCTCAGGTACACTGGTGTAAGCAGGCACCCTCAGGTACATTGGTGTGTAAGCAGGCACCCTCAGGTACATTGGTGTGTAAGCAGGCACCCTCAGGTACATTGGTGTGTAAGCAGGCACCCTCAGGTACATTGGTGTGTAAGCAGGCACCCTCAGGTAAACTGGTGTAAGCAGGCACCCTCGGGTACACTGGTGTGTAAGCAGGCACCCTCGGGTACACTGTTGTGTAAGCAGGCACCCTCGGGTACACTGGTGTGTAAGCAGGCACCATCGGGTACACTGGTGTGTAAACAGGCACCATCGGGTACAATGGTGTGTAAGCAGGCACTTTCAGGCACCCTGGTGTGTAAGCAGGCACTTTCAGGTACCCTGGTGTGTAAGCAGGCACTTTCAGGTACCCTGGTGTGTAAGCAGGCACTTTCAGGTACCCTGGTGTGTAAGCAGGCACTTTCAGGTACCCTGGTGTGTAAGCAGGCACTTTCAGGTACCCTGGTGTGTACGCAGGCACTTTCAGGTACCCTGGTGTGTAAGCAGGCACTTTCAGGTACCCTGGTGTGTAAGCAGGCACTTTCAGGTACCCTGGTGTGTAAGCAGGCACTTTCGGGTACCCTGGTGTGTAAGCAGGCACTTTCAGGTACACTGGTGTGTAAGCAGGCACCCTCAGGTACACTGGTGTGTAAGCAGGCACCATCGGGTACACTGGTGTGTAAGCAAGCACCATCGGGTACACTGGTGTGTAAGCAGGCACTTTCAGGCACCCTGGTGTGTAAGCAGGCACTTTCAGGTACCCTGGTGTGTAAGCAGGCACTTTCAGTTACCCTGGTGTGTAAGCAGGCACTTTCAGGTACCCTGGTGTGTAAGCAGGCACCCTCGGGTACACTGGTGTGTAAGCAAGCACCCTCAGGTACAGTGGTGTGTAAGCAGGCACCCTCGGGTACACTGGTGTGTAAGCAGGCACCCTCAGGTACACTGGTGTGTAAGCAGGCACCCTCGGGTACACTGGTGTGTAAGCAGGCACCCTCAGGTACACTGGTGTGTAAGCAGGCACCCTCAGATACACTGGTGTGTAAGCAGGCACCCTCAGGTACACTGGTGTGTAAGCAGGCACCCTCAGGTACACGGGTGTGTAAGCAGGCACCCTCGGGTACACTGGTGTGTAAGCAGGCACCCTCAGGTACACTGGTGTGTAAGCAGGCACCCTCAGGTACACTGGTGTGTAAGCAGGCACCCTCGGGTACACTGGTGTGTAAGCAGGCACCCTCAGGTACACTGGTGTGTAAGCAGGCACCCTCAGGTACACTGGTGTGTAAGCAGGCACCCTCGGGTACACTGGTGTGTAAGCAGGCACCCTCAGGTACACGGGTGTGTAAGCAGGCACCCTCAGGTACACTGGTGTGTAAGCAGGCACCCTCGGGTACACTGGTGTGTAAGCAGGCACCCTCAGGTACACTGGTGTGTAAGCAGGCACCCTCGGGTACACTGGTGTGTAAGCAGGCACCCTCAGGTACACTGGTGTGTAAGCAGGCACCCTCAGGTACACTGGTGTGTAAGCAGGCACCCTCAGGTACACTGGTGTGTAAGCAGGCACCCTAAGGTACACTGGTGTGTAAGCAGGCACACTCAGGTACACTGGTGTGTAAGCAGGCACCCTCAGGTACACTGGTGTGTAAGCAGGCACCCTCAGGTACACTGGTGTGTAAGCAGGCACCCTCAGGTACACTGGTGTGTAAGCAGGCACCCTCAGGTACACTGGTGTGTAAGCAGGCACCCTCAGGTACACTGGTGTTTAAGCAGGCACCCTCAGGTACACTGGTGTGTAAGCAGGCACCCTCAGGTACACTGGTGTGTAAGCAGGCACCCTCAGGTACACTGGTGTGTAAGCAGGCACCCTCAGGTACACTGGTGTTTAAGCAGGCACCCTCAGGTACACTGGTGTGTAAGCAGGCACCCTCAGGTACACTGGTGTGTAAGCAGGCACCCTCAGGTACATTGGTGTTTAAGCAGGCACCCTCAGGTACACTGGTGTGTAAGCAAGCACCCTCAGGTACACTGGTGTGTAAGCAAGCACCCTCAGGTACACTGGTGTGTAAGCAAGCACCCTCAGGTACACTGGTGTGTAACTGAGGATCACACAAGTGATGAAACAGTGAAACAAGTTCAACGTGTGTGTGTGTGTGTGTGTGAGAGAGAGAGAGAGAGAGAGAGAGAGAGAGAGGGGGCATGGGGTGTGTGTGAGGGGGGGGGCATGTTATGTGTACTGGGGTTGGGGCAGGGAGACAGTGGGTAAAAGATTTTTTAGTTTGGTGAACATACCATAACATAACCATGCAACACAGATATAAAGCCGCTAGACATCAACAGATAAACTAGACATCAACAGGTATAGAACTAGACATCAGCAGGTATTGAACTAGACATCAACAGATGTAGAACTAGACATCAGGTATAGAACTAGACATCAAATGTAAAACTCCTGGACATCAACACATGTAGAGCTGCTAGACATCGACAGATATATAACTAGACTTCAGATATAGCTCTGCTAGACATCAACAAGTGGTAGACAACATCAATATATTGAAGCAGTAGTTACTTGAGTGCTGGCTGGTGAGTTGACAGTGTAAACACGGTGGTGATGGTGGGCACAGCAGAGACCCACTACCCACCATGGTGGGTGCAACATGCTGCTGCTGCTGCTGCTCACCAGCACGCCCAGGCTGCCCAGACTGGAGTCAGCTGGTCCTGGAGGGCTAGCAGGCCTAACCCGGCCTCAACAACAGGGTGAGTAGTCTCGCAGGGTAGGCTGTTCACACGTTGCGTCGTGCTGGTCCACGATGATCGCTCTTAAAAATTTTTCAGTTGATTTTGATCCTCTTTGAAGTAAAGGATGTTGATCCTCTGGCTCAGTTTCTTGTTCAAAAAAACTTAGGATCAGTAAATTTATGGAGTGTGTGTACACTTGGTAAGTTGGTCATTGATACAGCGTTCAATATTACTGTTTATGAGAATGCGCTTAACCCGTAGAGGTGAGACCGGGCCCTGGAAAAGAGTAGGCAGTCATGCTTAATCCAAGAAAAGGGAAAGTAGCTCAAGATCCTTGGATCAAAAGCCTTTCACCTGCATTTAAAGAACCTTCAAGAAGGGAATACAAGATTTTAATACATTCTTGTCCACAAAGTCTGCCTCATTTTTCAACAAAATGGTAACACGTGCAAAAACTTGCAGGTGGTACTACGAGATGACCAACACCAGCTGTTACCCTTGGCATGGTTTATTTTAAGAAGTGTCTCATGTCAGCTACTGATGTCTGCAACACAATCCTTCGCAAATCTCCACAAGACTATTTGTAAATATTTAGCTTAA